AGGGTCCTCACCACCCTTTCTGGAGAGCGCCAGGTTGGGGAACGCGGCGCCGCCCGCGGGGTGGGGGAAGCGGGGGCGGCGGGCGCCGCTTCCATTCCGGAACCTTTCCGACGGGCCGCCGGAAGCGAGGGAGCAGCATTCGCGGCCGGACCGCGGTGCGTCGCTGGAGCGGTCCTCCGTCTGGACGGAGCCATGTGGGCTCGGGCGGCGCTGGGCCTCTTCGGGAGCGGGGCGGGAGGCGTTTTATTTCGGTAAGCGGCCGAAAGGAAGCGGGAGGGGGGTCTTCTCGCCCCTTCGGCTGCTTTCAGCGGCGACCAGCTCCCCCCCGGCTACGCGCCTCTTTGGGGATTGGGAGAAGCAACGAGCGCCCGTGGGGACGCCCCGAACCAGCCCCGCCATAAAAACCCAGTAGCTGCCCCCCCACAGCAAGCTAAACCTGGTTGGTTTGATTGATTGATTGATTGACATTTCAAATGTAGTCACCGCCCATCTCACTCAAGAGAGACTCCGGGCGGTTTTAACCTTGACTGGGGCGTCTGCGTCCCCCCCTCCTTTGCATATTGCATTTAGGGATCCCCCAGGTGAGTGGACTCATGCACCAGGGGAGGTGTGTAGGTACGCATTTATTTTTATTTTATTTATCTATTCCTCACATTTATATAGCCGCGCATCCCACAAACGTGACTCCTGCGGAAGGGCTTCCTGATCCTTCCTAGAACCTGCTTGCCCTGATACTTCCTAATAATAATATTATTAGTATGTTAAATTTGTAGGCTGCTTGACACCCAGCGACCCATTTAAAAGCAAAGAACGATACCCCCCCCCAAAAAAAAGACCCACACAAAAACAGCACAAGACGAAAGAACAAGGATAGTGAAGAAAACAAACCCCGGAGGGGAACAAAAAGGAAGAAAAGGGCAAAGGGCTTCTGGCAATGGGATAATGGACGTGGGGGTTTGCTAAACTTGTTTAAACTAGCCAGTTGCCTGTTTGTATCCAGTATTTTTTGATTATGTGAGTTGCAGTACATAAGATCTTTAGACTGCATTTTCACATGATTGCATTTCATATTAACTATTTATTTATTTATTTAATACAGCCTACCATCCCACACTTGTGACTCTGGGCGGTGCACACAATTAAGAGAACAATCTTAATTGGCAATCTGGAAATCTTCCAAGAATTTTGTTATTGCGAGAAAGCTAAAGAAGTACCAATTGCTTCCCCTGAATCTGAAACTGCTAAAATTATTTCTGGCAAGGAATTGATGAGTTATTCCTCTTACTGATAATCTTTTATCTAATTGGATTGATTTAATTTTTAGTTCTCAGTTAATCTGGAATGTACAACTCCGAGCGAGCCACTGGCAATCTTCACTCCTTGGACTGAGAACAGCTCTGCCGATGAGGTAGGATAAAGCTCAGATTCTTATTTTCAACCAAAACTTTTGCTTTCCATTTGACAATATAAGAAAAGCTATAAAATATTTATTTATTTATTAAATTTTTCAACTGACCATCTCCCCCCAATGGGGGAACTCCGGGCGATTCACAACAAACATTAAAACATAAAATATATAAACACATAAAACCTTTCCTTTACTTCTCCGAGAAACTCTGGAATCTTGTGGTTATGTTCTCCGTTCCTTCATTTTATTATCCCAAGAACCCAACAAGGAAACTTTAGTGGAGAATGAATGAGCCAAGATCATTCATGGATGAATAGGGATTTCAAGTTTAATCCTGTTAATTACTTCTGAACATACCATGTGGATTTTATTTACACACATGATATGTTCATGTTATGTGAATATTTGGCAGTTTCTGGAATGCGATCGTGGAATGTCATAATGTCCTAAAGCTTCCGTCCTATGCACATTTACCTGAGAATTAATCCCCACTGAACACAGGCATTTACTTAAAAACAAATTTGCATATGTCAGACAGGAAATTAAATAGATCACCATTCAAAAAGATTGTGAAAAGTTTTAGCTGCATCAACCTACTTTTGAAAACCATCAAGGCATTTCTTCTAAACCGCTGCTGGTCTGTAGTAGAGCACTGGCTCAAGTGATTTAAAACCAAAAACCTTTTGAGATGTTTGCGTTGAAGTTATTGTGAGAATGTGATATTGTGCTCTGTAAAGTTCAAGCCATGATGGATATTTCATTTCCCGCCTCCCTTAGAGCAGAACCCGCAAAGAAAAAAAGGGTAGATCCAAAGAAAGACCAGGCTCTGAAAGAACGTCTGAAAAAGAAAATCAGAAGATTGGAAAAGGCTGCTCAAGAGCTGATTCCTATTGAAGACTTCATTGTACCATTCAGATTCATGGATGAAAAAAGGTAATGGAGTGCTGAACGGGTGGGGTCACTATAGATTGTGACTGCAGTTTTTTTAAAAAATTATTTATCTATCATATTTACAGTCACCCATCTCACACAAGGTGACTCTGGGTGGCGCACAGCAATTAAAAAGAATAAATACATTAAAACAATTACAAATAAAAAACTGTAAAAACACACAGAATAGGAGGGGATGAAATTAATAAGGGAGCAATTGCAAAATCTCCCCGGTCCCCGGGGAGCCCCAGGCCTGATCACATAGCCAGGTCTGGAGGGACTTGCGGAATGTTAAGATTGTATTTAGCTATGCTGGCTGGGGAATTCTGGGAGGTGACATCCGCACGTCTCAAAAGTTGCTGAGGTTGAGAAACCTTGCATCTTTGAATCTTGATTCCCTATGTCTTCATTGCTTGGAGGCTTCCAAGCAATAGATGCGATTTGCCGTGGCCTCCCATTCAAGCACTAACCAGGTTCTGCCCTGTTCAGCCTTTTGAGGTGAGCCCAGGGCGGCTAGGCCCTCCGTCCCATATGCTGCTCTGTGTTTTTCTGATAGGGTGCGAGAGCTTACTCCGCTGTCCCCTGAAGAAAGTGAAAGGCGGGCTCAGCTTTTGAAAAAGTGGTCTGTCTACAAGTATCAGCAGGACAAGGCCGAGATGGACACCATGAAAACTCTTGTCGCTGCCCAGGAACAGGCTTTAAAGGAACTGCGCCTGGAGTCAGAAGAGCTGTATCAGGCGGCCATTCAACGGGATGTGCACTTGTTCCCTTTTGACAGGCAAGAACCCCTGCACAACCCCCCTCAGGCTAAGTATGAAGCTCCTGAAGGGAAATGTAACGATCTCACAAGAATATATACGTATTGATCTGGGCTGCTGGAAGATCAGTGCTGTCAGCTAGCACAAACCCATGACGTTCTGCCTGGTCATTTGCTAGATTTCAAGGACCAGTCCGATATGGCTGTTTGATAAAATCACTTGGAGACCAATAGATCATACAAGGGTCAGTGGAAAAGGCCTTGAATGTTGGCTCTGTTGAATAGAGTTGGTTTGTCGGAATCAAGTTTGCTATATGCTCCCATCTATGGGCAGCCACATACATTTATTAAATAAATAAAATCTTGTTGTAAGATACATATAAACCAATGTGAAGATGTTGATTTCTTTGGGGATTGAAAACACAAAGCATCTGAGACCCCACCATAACAATTCTTAGCTGATTTTTAGGATATTATCTATAAAGGAAGTTAATGCTTTGTTCTGCATTCTGTAGAAATTCCACTTTTTGCTACCATTATGGATGTTGAATAAATTCTACTTACCAATCCTTTGAAGTACTTTTGTCTGACACAGATAAGAGTGCTGGTGAAAAGCAACTTTTATATATCTGGGCTGTGCAGTTGAACATCACAGGTTTGCCAGCCCTGGTCTCCAAACATTCTGCTTCCTACTTTGGACTGAGTTCACACATCCTATTAAGTCATAGTGTATTGCGGTTTTTGGCTTATCAGGTTTATAGGAACTCAGCCCCGGCGGTTGGTAAAGGAAGTTTTAAACCGGACCTGAATGTTGCATATGAATTAAAGAGTTCCTCAGCTGTCACCTTGTCACTCAGCAGCAGTATTTCCATAGCTAATTTTCAACTAAAGACAGAGCTTGTAAACAGCAAAATATGTCCTTCACAAGGATATTCTGTAAATGTCCTCTGAAACTTTGCATTGGCTTAGGAAAAGGGTTCAGAGCAGCTGTTAACATAAAAAATAAATCTGACACAGTTACAGAGGTATCAGCCTGGTGGTAGCACAGATTTATGATGGGAAAATCCCCATAATCCCTCAAGAGTCCCTGAGTAGCATCAGACAGAAGTCCCACCTAGGCTATTGGAGGGCCTCCTCATTTGAAGTTCTCTTCCCCAATGGGTGAATTCCAATCAGCTGGAGGATTTTTTCTCATTTTCCACACTGGCGCATATTTCTGCTTCTTGGCAACCCGTGCTCGCTCACTGTCACACAACAGATCCTGCAACAGACAGAAGCTGTTGTTAACAATGTCCCAACACTCAGCACGCATAATGCTTTTCAGAGTGAAACAGGAGAAATCTATGTCCAGAACGGCTTACATTCTGGAATTTGACACCATTTTTACCTTCTGTTACACATACTCTGGATTTGTTACACAGAGCAAAGGACCATGGGCAACACCAAAATTTGCACAGAAAGTTGAGCAATCAGCAAACGATTTGATTGATCAAATCAACTTTTGGCCATGCCTACCTCTTTATAGGAAACAACCCATCCTTTTTGCAAAGGTGCAATAATATGTATTTCAAGCTGTGCCCTTCTTGTGGAAGGGTAAGGTTCCACAAGAACTTGATGGGGTTCTGGGAAAGACCAGAGGGCAAAAAAATGAATAGTTCACTCAAACCCAGCCCGTTTTCTATCACAAGAGTTTTGCCTCCTGAGCAGAAATTCCAGGAGTTTTTACTCTTTAGTGAACAAGGGGTCTGAAAAATTTGAAAACTCTTCCAGCGCAGCAACTTTTTAAGGGACGCAGATTGTCTTTCTCGTTCAGTTACGTCAGTCAACAGGCAGCGAGTCTGTAGCCCATCAGATGTTGCAGAATTGGATGGGAAACCCAGCTGCATTAGCCAGAATTGCTAGTGGCGAGGGATGCCAAGAGCTCAACATCTGCACCCATTGCAGCCCAGATCCCACTAACTCTCTGATCAAATGGGAAACGGAGAAGAACAGAGTCCACTAGAATTAGGCAGCTAATACATTCAAATAAATAAAATATTATTAGCGTTACAGCTGCTCATTCCTAGGACTCTAATATACAGCAGCAATTTTTAAGGGGTGTGTGTGAAATGCCATCGCATCTATTTCTCACAATGGAATAAAACCACAGATGATCCGCTTGCTCTTAAAAGAAGTACTTTCTCCCATCGGTCCGATGGCCGGAATGCCTCTTCCAGAACGGGACGTGTTAAGAGGCATCCTCGGACATCCGTCGAGTCAGCCAACTCGTGAGGGTAAAACGGCTCTTTCTGTTCTTAATGAATTAGGCAACGGATCCCGCTTCTGCCCTCCAGATCCTTGCCGGACCCCATACCTTGGCCGTGGCGCTTTTCGTTCTCTCCCATTCTTTGCAATTCTTGTAATCCTTCTTCCACTGGGCGCAGGATGGCGTCTCCCCGTAAGTGTAGTACGTATGGTATAGGTTCCGGATGCTCCGGCACAGCTTCCATTCGGACCAGTAATCCGCACATGCTCGGGGGGGCTGTCGGACACATGTACAAAACACGGCAGCAGGCGCCCGCTCATTGGCATCGTTTGCAAGGGGGTCGAAAGACTCCCCCTCTGAGGTTTGCCCCGGCAGAAGAAATCCGCAGGAGCCGCAAAACAAATCCTGCAGTGCGCAAACTGGTCGCGTCTAAATCCAGTTTGGCCTCCGAACTTTCTCGCTCTCTGCCTCGATTTTTACCCTTTCGTGGGTCTCACACCAGCCTTACGCTTCCCTAGGGTGTTAGCGCTCCTGTTTCATTTTATTCTAATTTCTTTGACCGGTGAGCCACCCAGTCGGGCGGCATTTTGATGAATTATTCACAAATGGATTGATCATAGTATACGTATTATTGGATGATGATAATAGCAATATATATATATTAATTATAAAACGTTTATTATTATAGTAGCAATTTAGAATTAATGCAATTTATAACATTTAAATGTAAATTAATACAAATCGTAAGTATACGTGATAATATGATTCGTCATTACAATAATTATATTATTTTCAGAAAGTCAGCTCCAACCTTTCAAGTTCCCACGGGCATCGTAGAGAGTTCGCTGTAAGGGGTGGGCGGGCTGCTAAATCCCGGGCAAATTCAGCACTAGGCTGCCTTCACACGACACGCAAACTCCCGTGTCCCGCATTCGCACAACCCGCGAACTACGCCCCAAGAAAGGATTTTCCTTCCTACCGGCCCCAGGGATGCCCCCCGCCCCCAATTCCTAGTTTTCCACGATTAGGCAATGATTATGGGATAATCCTCACCCGCCAAAACTCCTCACCGGCCATCGCGCGGGCTCCGCCACAATGGAGCAACGACCCGGCAGAGGCAGAGCTTCTGGCCGGTCGCCCCGCCCACCGGGGGCGGGGCGCCGCGCCGATTGGACCTTTTAGAGGGACCCAAGGGCTACAGTCAGCGGCGCGTTGCCACCGCTTCCGGTTCCCAGGCGTAATTGCAACGCGTCCCCCGGATGGGCGTCGATGGGATGGTGGGGGAATTCAGGGCTACAGTCAGTAGCGCGCATACACCGCTTCCGGCTCCCAGATCTAACTGGAAAGGTCCTCCATGTGCGGGGTTAAAAAAAAAAAGAACGCTTACGTTCTCCAGTCTGATGGTTTGGGAGTACTATGGCCATGCTAGTCGGGCCTTCTGGGAATTGTAGTTGCACGGGGGGAAGGCTCACTTTGGAAATCATATTTAAGCATACACGCAGCTTTATTGCCAGTTTTTAATTGGTTAGGGTCAGCGCATTAGAGATATTCACAATCCACACACACACACACACACCCCTCTTTAAAGCAAAGCGATTTGACAAGAATGCAGTTTGGCCATTGGAAAGACCCCTTTCCCCATCTGAACTTCACAACGGCTGGGGATTCTGGGTTTCGAAACCCCAACCCATAGAAAAGATGCAGATTGGGGAAAACAGCAGTCAATTATCAGCGCTGTCTGTCCTTTTGCAGTTCTCATTGCACATCTCGACTGCAAACAATTCGGTTATCAAACTTCTAACTTAGCTGGGCTACGTTTGTCCTCTATTTCCTTCCTTCCGCGCATGATTTTTTTATAGCATCCCTAAGGGTGACTTTATTTATTTTGAAAAAAAAAAACAGGTTTGCTACAAAATCCTGTTTCGGCAATTTTAAAACATCTGTAGGTCCTTGCATCTGCTGAACAGTGTGAAAACATTCACGTTTTCTAGAGTTGTTCATGGAAGAGAACAACTGACCGAGTGTTAGAAGGAAAAAAAAGTGGCTCATTTCAAAGGATGGGGTTTGAAATCAGCCTCAGTGCTAGAGAAAGTTTTTTTAATCCCTTTAAGACTTTTGTACGGTAGAACAGAAATCTCCCTGAACAAACAGCTGCGTCTAGGTGCGTGTGAAAAATCATTCTCCTTTCCCAACATGTGCACACTTTAGATCGATTGCACTCCTTATCTTGCCACCTAGTGTACTACACCATTACACCAGTGTTTCTCAACTTCGGCAACTTTAAGATGCAACTTAACACGTGTGGACTTCAACTCCCAGAATTCCCCAGAATTCCCCATGGCTGGCTGGGGAATTCTGGGAGTTGATGTCCACGCATCTCAACGTTGCTGAGGTTGAGAAACACTGCATTACACATTCTAGGGTAGAGAAAAAATTATAAAGACAGCTGCACACTATCGGCATTTTTCAGTTTAGCTCCACCGCCCCTTTCAAATAAAGATTCCCAACGTGTTTCAGAAGACTATCCTGTTGCCTACACGTGTCACTGATCCGAAATAAAACCTATTTCTGGGGAACAGAAAGTTACCCAAATGTCTTATCGGTTCAGTTACGAATGTCCTGCGATGGCCCTCTTTGTAGACATAAAATAGGGATACAGATCCAGCTTTAAAACGTTTGTATCCAAGACAACCCCCCCCCCGCCCTGCCAAATCCGACTGGCCTAAACTGAACGTTGCTTCAGTTCTCATGGATGAGACTGCGTACGTGGTAGCAAACCAGCTTTATTGCTGCGGAAAAAGCCGTTACACAAATACAGCTCTATTCTCCAAGAAAGGAGAACGGGTGGCTGGGGAAGTGGGCTACGATCGCTTGCCCTCCGAGTCATCTGTCCCCCCATGGCAGTGGAAACACCCTGCTTCCAAGGAGGGCTAAGGCAGGGCCCAGCGTTGGAGCCAAACGCTCCCAAAGCCACTGCTTGTTAGCAACACACTCTTTGTTAACGCCGCTTCGCTTTCTTAAAATGAGAATGAAGCGTCTTCAGAACCTGATCTTCATTTTCTGTGGATAGTACGAATGCGTTCCACTGAAAAGCAGGAATACAAACAGTCTTGCCAGAAATGCACCATGGCTATTTTATTGTCTTCTCACCGCAGAATTTAGGGTTTCCTTCCTTTCTTGCGAAGGGACTGGCCTTCTCCAGAAAACGCAATAAAACGACTGCTGGCATCATCCTGAGGGAACGAAGCAAAGGTTAGGAGAGATTGTTTGGATTAGTTGAATTATTTTCTGGAATCGCCGTTAGGAAGTCTGATTTTCAAGCTTATTGAGGATCCAGTTTTATTCGGGAAAAAGAACAACAAGAAAAGCTTGCACAAATCATTTCTGGGGATTTTCAGAGTTTGGCTCGCAAGCTACCTCACACAACAGTAGCATCGGAAGATTGCTGTTGATTTCATTTGAAAATTGATAGCGAAATGGTTTATACTTGCTGTGATGAGGGTGGGAAGTTGTTTTCCTTTTTTTTCCTTTTTCCTTTCTATTTTTTCCTTTCTTTTTTGCTTCCCTGCACCTTTTACCCTATTTTTCTTTTTCGTTTGCATTATTTTTATTATTGTAGTTACAACTTTGAATAAAGAACTATTTAAAAACATTTTAAAAGGCACTGAATTGTTTTTTTAAGCTGTAGATTATAACTGCTCAGAGTTTTTAAGATGGGGGGGCCATACAAACCCAATAAGCAAACAAGAAAGACAGACAGACATCGCATTGGATTTAAAAAAAAGCAAACAGAAAAAACTCTCATCATGTTTCTTGAAATATTTGTTTCTTTTTTCTAATCTCTTTGCCTTCTTTGGAAAATGATATATTGCCGATGTTTGGAATGTGATCCATGAGACACCAGAATAATCAGCTACAGCTCCTCTGTCTGGTTGGGCCTCACTGAAGGGCTGCACGTATTCAAGTTCACGATCTGCCTTACCGAGATCCAGCTAAAAAATTCCTATCCAGCTTCACTCACCTCTTCTATTTTCTTGACGAGCGGCCGGGAATTTCTAATGAATGTGATCTTGCCAATTTTGAAGTCGTAATTCGGAATGCCACTGCAAGAGGAGAGAGAACATGTATCCGTTTGGAAGGCCAAAATTAAGCAAAGGTTTAATTATGTCAATTTTGTGACCGAGAGGCTACAGGACAGCTTGTGGATATCGTAACTGGCTGCATTTGCTTAATGTGATGCTCAAACCACTTCCTTGTGGCTTGTTCAGAAGCAATGTTTTTTTAAAAAAAAAAGCTAGGACTTTTGTAAGCCACCATAAGTCATGAGGACGCTAGCAGGCACGTGTGTTTTCAAAATCAACCAATTAATAAACAAAGGTAATTATTGGATTCTCACAACACACTGCTTGACCAACCACCTCACCTCCCTTCAGCCTAGCTCAGCATAATGTGTGAACTCAGCCAATATGGCACAACATGGCTTGTTCTGCTTTGGGTTAAGGGGTTTACAAAGCCAGCCGCTATGGTTATTGACATGGTTTGTGGGCCAATGCATTGGGCCAACCCAGCCAAGTATGGCTTGCATATTAAACCAGGCCTAAACAAACCATGGCTTCATGCAACGAACCAACCAGCCAACCGGCAAAAATGGCAACCCTCTAAGCCAACCATGGTGGAAGTCAACAAAGAACTACTTCAGGGGCCAACCAACCGTCGAATGTCTCCTGGTTTAATTGGAGAGGGGCTTGGCTCAACTCCCTTCTTTTTTCCATCCAGCCTGTTCCCAGATCCAGAAAACGCCTAAGGGAATAAGAGAGAAAAATCATCATCTACGCGTGTGTCCGCCAAGGGTGCCATCCAAACTCAACTGAATAGATTTAAATCTGATTTTATCCAAACCTTCCCTGAAACCAGTCTCCAAAATCTGGATCATGAAAGATTCTCTCTTCGCTTTTCTTTACAAGCGCTCACAAGTTTACAATCAAACAGAGGCCAACTTTAAACTTTAATTATTAACGTAGGCGAGTCTTATCTCAATAAAGAGACTTACACGGAATCCCAGGTCACTCACATAACCGCTGTGGTCTGCTTCAACATCCTAGACAGCAAGAGGAGAAATAAATAAAGCTATTTTATCATGGCTTCGGTATGTAGCATAGGTAGGATGAAATATTCCTCAAGAAGAATTTGCTCTCTTAGGCTTCTCACCAGCTCCATTTCCAACCTGGGTGCGGTTGGGGATATAGCCAAAGGAACATAACCTCTACTAAACCAGAGGTTTACGTAAGTTTGGAATAACCCTGAGATTCACAGCGGCACAAATGAATCTTTTGAAAAATCCAGTTTCCCATAAACGTACCAAGTGGCTAGGCTGTGCTGTGGAGAAAGGGGTTGGATCAGCTGATCCAACGGAGAGAAGCATTCTGCACTGGTCCCATGTTTCATATGGCGTTCAATTCTTCGAACATTTTGAATATAAAATGGATCAGTACTTCTTTCAAGTGAAGGGGAGGGAGGTTGTGGGGGGGGGAGAGAAAGAAGGAAGGAGCCAATGACGCCAAGAAGCAACTTACAGCAGACTCCTCATGAGGTGCTTGTCTCTCTGGTTCTTTGTAACCCAAAGGTGCATCAAAGTCTACCTGAATTAAGTCAAAGCAACACAAAAGTTACAGCCAGTTCACAATCATCAGGGTACCTATAAAGCCATCCTTATTACAGACTGTTTACAAACCCAGTCTACTTACACAGTGTTTTTCAATCTCAGGAACGTTAAGATGCGTGGACTTCAACTCCCAGAATTCTCCAGCCAGCTATGCTG